TTGTACTCGCTATTTCCAAAAAGGGTCATTGCAATGCTAACGTGTGTTATAACTAGGATTGTCTTGGCCCTCTAGTGTCCAGTATTCCACATCCGGGTCCCGTCTCCTAGGAGACGTCTATTTGTTTGGAGGTCGTATTGTTCTGCTGTGTTCCACGTTGATTTCACATTATACTGCAGGTTTCACAGCTGACGGACCGTCAGGATTGTTATTTGTTGTGTTTGGTGCAATTTTACTAAGATTTCAAGATGTTGCAAGAGGAGAATATCTACAATTTGATTCCTAGAGAGGAGGTAAAGCCTCCAAAACCAGCAAGGTAAGTTATAAGATCTAGAATTTTCACCCTTTTTGAAGAATTTTTCAAACAAGCCATCTTATGATATTATCATACTGATATTTAATATTAACATATGCGTCTGTTTTGTATCTATAAGTGCAGCCGCCAAACATTGCAGGGGATATTAAAAATTCCATTAAAATGTGAAAATAGGGGGGAAATTATAGTTGACAAGTTGTAAACTGATGTTTTTATTTTAATGATTTTAATGTTTTGAGTAAAGGTAAACAGTTTATCAGTGTTTCTTACTTTATTTAGGTATACGTCAAAGTTCAAGCAAATGGCTCGAGAAGAAAGACAAGAAGGGAAGTCGGGTTACAAGACAATGGGGCAGGCCAAGGTTCCTGTGCCAACCACTGATAACTTCCTTAAGAAACATTCCAAGGAGCCAAAATTACCCCCTAGTAAGTGTCAAAATACAACATTGATCTCTTTCTAATTTACTGCCTTGTGTTGTACTTAATTTGAATGTAATTCATTTTTATTAATTTCCTAAGTATTTTTAACTTATGAATCAGTTTAAAATTAATTAAACATATATTTAAGTATACTTATTATTATTTTATTTATTTTATTTTTTTACATTTATTTAGACATTTTTAAACAGCCCCTTAGTGTGTGACTTCTATAATCATAGCTAAATGTGAGTTACAATTTTGGTTACATTTTGGTACCTGTCAAGTCAAAACGTATGTAACATAATGTCATCAGCATATAAATTATCAAATTTTTACAATATCCAATCTTGTGTCCTTCCTAGGAGAGCACGTGTTTGCCGGTGAACCCTTCACATACCCAGACGCGGACAGACGCAGACCACCAGTTCCACACAAAGAGGACAAACCTCTCATGGGACTGAGGACAACGAAGAACTTCATCACCAATAATGCTGTGGGTAATATCATGTCCGTCCCTAAGAAGCCAGACAAGAACTTTGTGGACACCAGGGGAGGAGATAAGTGGCCACTTGATCCATCTGGACTGGAGCCTAAGTTTATCCACAAGAAGGTAAGGATGCCTTGCAATATATATTTATTCTTGTTCAATCCAAATGTGGTAGTTTTTTTTTTTTTTTTTTTTTTTAATACGGAAAATTGCAGTTGTACTATAAGGGAAAATTTCATGGTATATGTTTTAATTTATAGGGCGATTTGTTGACAAAAAACACTTCCTCATTTTATTATTGAAGAAACTTATGTTGAACTATTGAATTAAAAGGCAACATAGTACATATAATTTGTCTGTTTTAAAAGAAATTGATATGTGAAAAATTATTAAGAAAACTAAATAAAAATATAAAAAGTTTAATTTCAATAATTAAAATATGTATTTTATATTACCAGGATTTTGGTCAGACACCAGGATATCTTGTGAAGCGTAACAAGGAGGTGATTAGAGCACAGGAAGAGTATGAAGCTTACATCGCTGAGCACTTCCGTCGTGGGGCCATGAAGCAGCTCTCCGAGGCCGAGAGACAAGTCATTCTTGCGGGACTCAAAGCAAACTGGGAGGAGATTCACCATCAATATCAGGGGCTGTCTGTTGTCACAGATACCGTGCCCAAGAAGAACCGCAAAGAGCGCATGGAGGCGGAGATGAAGCAGTTAGAAAGAGACATTGAAACAATAGAAAAGCACAAAGTCATCTACATTGCAAATTAAGTGGGACATTTTTTTTCTAATTTCAGTATTTATAAACTTCCACGAAATCAAGTGTATATGAAAGAGCAATCTTTTTCAATGCTTTTGTTACATGTGTTACTGAATTGAAAATGGAAGGATTACTTGTTATAACTCCCTAAAAGTATTATTATTTTTTCTGGTTTACATCTAAAAAGTGCCTTTGATGAAACTTTTAATTTGTGAAAGCAGCAAAGCAATCATTCATTTTTGAACCTATTTCACATCTGGAAAATCTGCTCAAAGACCTTGTTGTCACGTACGCATCATGTACACAGTATTTCTTGGTGTAGGAGTAATAATTTCATGGCTCATTTTGTAAATAAGTCATCATTGTCATTTGTAAGTTTGCCAACTTGTTTTTATGTTAAATATAAACATATAGTATGTACTGTTAATGTCATCAACACTCTGAAAACAAGTTGTTACAGTAATAAATTTTACATGTAAATATAACTGCGCTTTAGTTCTGTGGTTTAATTTTTTTTTAAATTACCAATATGTCCTTATTTTACTCTTTCTCACTCTTACTTTCACTCTCCCTCCATTAAACAAAAGGAGTCCTTATCATTTACTTCGAATATATTTGAAATCGTCATTGTCACTCTATTTACTAATAGGATCAAACACTAAAGATGTTTCATGTCAGCTAGAGGACTTTTATACACCAAGGCAAAAACATCAATATTTAACCTTCCAAGTTCTCTGTTTTGTTTGTGCTGAGGCCAGTGCATTGATTAATCTGGTCCTCAATTAAAATTGTGTTAGATGAGACAAATCTGACAGCACAATCAACACCACATCTCTGCCCTGTCTGTGTGTTGACACTGAGTAGTTTAATTGTCAGACATAGTATCATAACAAACACTATCCACATAATAGTGAAATGAGTTTTTCATTGTCTCTTAAAATGTTAATTTTACAGAGATAAAACACCTATGAGGGGTGATGCTTCGGTCAACTAATGCAGGCACTTTCCCCTCTTTAGGTAAGCCAAAGCAGCAGAATCTTTATTAGTGTCTGTTTGTGTTCTTGGCATTCTTCAAGCAGTGTCTCATCATCAGCTGACTGATTCTGTTTTTCTTTTCTTCTTTGGAATTGGCAAGGGCAAAGTTGTTGAAAACTGGAAGTTGAAAGAAACCAAAATGTTACTACTGATTATACATTCTGTATTTCACAATATATTAGTATTTTAACTAAAAAAGTAAAAGCCGATGAACTGTTGGTTGATTCAAAAACCTAAATATGGTTACAATTATTTCACTGACTTTTGAAACAGTTCTTTAGTCAAATCTAAGTAAGTAAAAAAAAAAAAATGCAAACAATAATCAACTCTGCTCTATTTAACAAAAACTGCTAACTGTAACAAACTTTGTTCTGTTCACAACCTCAATTATTTTCACCTACACTTTTCACTTTGCCCCTGATCTGTTTCACAGTGTTATCAACAGATTTCTCTTCTTCTTGCATCACCTTCCTCTCCTCTCCAGGTTTTACTGCCGGCCCTTTAACATCTCCAAGAATACACGCATTCAGCCGTAAGTCTTCATTTAAGGGATCTCTGTCCGTATTTGAGAATTCTTTGGTTTTGTTCTGTTTTTGAATCTTTTGTAAGGCCTGTCTAGGGATAAACTTTGGTGCTGTCTGGTTCTTGGGTTTGAAATCTTTGACAACAGTGTCTGCTGATGTCAGGTTTCTATCTACAACTGGTTGTGTAGGTCCACCACGTGACAGAGAATTATTACGACCTTTATTAACAGAGCTTTGTTTGTCACCATGCAATTTTTCTGTCAAATCTTGCCTCACAGCATAATTCTGGTTTCTGAGATCTGTCCCTCCTAATGCCCCCTGCTGGTCACTTCCTGTTCTATGACCGATGTGTCCATGGGAAGTGACCACAGGATGATAACCAGGGTTCAAATGACCCGGGGGTCCTGCTGGTGTACCCTGAAGCTGGGGATGAAGTCCTGGAACCCCCCACCCATACCGCCCTTCTGGGTGCATGCTGGGATACGGTGGGTAGGGGTGATACCCAGGGTGGTGGTGGGTGTGTCCCCAGGGTGGGTGTGGCTGAGGCAGGGGTGGGGGTGGGAGGAACGGAGGGGGTGGTGGGGGTGGGGTGTTGTACATGGGTGTTTCATGTTGGGGTTCCTGTTGTTTCTGTGTGTGGTGTTGATGATGATGGTGGTCAGTCCCTGGCCTCTGTCCACTGCTTGAGATTTGTTGATGTCCACTATCTGACCAGTGCTGATGTCCAGTGTTGTCCAGCCCTGGCTGGGATGACCCAGGGGCTGTATCAGTGGCTGTGGTCTGGAGTATGGAAGAACTGACTCCTGCAGCTGTCTCAGACACTAATGAAGACTGGGAACCACTTGCCTCTTCTGAAATGAGATATAATGGGTAAACATAAAAGGATGACACACAGATTAAGGAATAAATAAAATACGGCATGCAGCACTAAAAATCCCATATTTTTAGAACTGGAGAAATTCACTCTTAGACTTCCACACCTATATTTTTTAATTACTTCAATCAAACAATAGAATGAACACACCAAAACGTATGAAAATACAGGCAAGCCTGTATGCGAAATTCAAGTGCAATCACCCTATTGTTCAAAGCGCTGGCCTGGTAACAAGTGCAATCACCCTATTGTTCGAAGTGCTGGCCTGGTATAAGTTATGTTTTATTCATACCTAAATAGTTATTCTATTAATTTTCAGTTTATAGCAATTGAGACTTTAGCCTCGATGCCAATGACTGAATTATTAAGCCTCAAATCACTTCAGAATCTTGAGTTATTACAGCCACATACTAAACTTATATCATTTTTAGTCTTGGTACCACTTACTAAGTTTTCTGAGCCTCACTGCTACCTCCCTTCTACGTTCCCTCAGCTTGTCCTTGGTTTCCTGGACAGACTCGTATTCTGGGGCATAACAGATGTGAAGTGCACCTCCAAAGAAGGCATAGTCGTCTAGCTTCTTCTTAGCAAACCTGGAAAGTGAATGTTAACAACAAGTGTCAAACATCTGCTGTTCACAGTACACTGTATAAAATTCTAGAAGGCTATAAAGCCAATACTGACACAAAGGAACACTTCTATTAGTTGATTTAAAGATCTCTAAAGTTATATCAATTAAATCCATTTTAAATTCAATATTTAAGGCATAATGTTTGATACCTTATATCCAAGACAGTTACTTCAGTTATATATGAAAGTTTAAAACTATGGTCTTAGTTTTATCAAAAATGTCCAGTATGCCACGTAAATAAATCTACTAGTAACTTAACCAAAATAGTATATTTATTGCAAATCAACATCAAATCAACATCATTATCAAAGCAACATCTGACAAAGTACACAATTCAGAAAAATCTAGATATGCCATAAAATGCATTGGCTGTGCTTACATAATCCATGAGTTAATTAATAGGCAATAAAAGAAAAAAAATTCCAGTCACCCAGACCCACCGTGCAGACTGTATCTTCTTATATTTTATCCAATAAACTTCTGTGTAGTTGTCATCTGTGGGATACTGGTCCAGAATTCTGTACTCCAAGATTTCTCCATATAAAGCAAACAGTTTGATCAGCTCTTTAGAGGCCCCCACAGCTGGTACTCCCTGAACTAGGAGATACTGGGACTCCTGAGCTACACTGTATACCTGGGGGTGGTGGCATAATAATAATAATAATAATAATAATAATAATAATAATAATAATAATCGTTATAATTATAATTTCTTTTTACATGGCAGATTCCATTTTTACTGTGCACCTTGGCAGTAGACTACATAAGAAGTTTTATAGTAAATATTTCACAGATTTAAATTTCATATTAAGTAGAATATTCTTAATTATTATTATTAATATCATTATTTATTTATTTATTTATTTATTTATTTATTTATTTATTTATTTTTACTCACTGCAGGTCGAGTTCATCACATATCCTACTCATACATATTCACTAGCTGTTCCAAGCAATTTTTACGGTGTCAGAGACAGATAACTAGTTGTATATACTAGTTGTAAAGGCTACAGGACTAACTAATAATACAGAACGTTTGAAAACTTCTGACATACGTACCGAGATCCAATAGTGGGCAAACTTAGTTTTAAAAAGTTATGCATTGATACAGTTAAGTGTTTACTCATAAATCTAAATCCATTCCTTACCTTCACAGCCTTAAGGTCCCTCCCTTCTCGATAGGCAGGGCGTGTAGTGCACAATTCATGCTTTAGGTGGTGTTTTAACACCGTCGTTCCGTCCATGTAGCCAATTAGTATCGATGTATAGTTTCCCTCCTTTTTAGAGGTCAAGGTTGCAAGACAGGCACAAGACAGGCAGAGAGAATGAGAGAGAGAGCGAGAGCGAGTGACTCACTCAAACTAAATATCAAGAAATATACAGTGTCCTAGAGGTAGTGAAGGTTGTATAAATATTTTTTACATTTAACTCGCTAGTAGGATAAAGCTGGGGTTGTAGTCCTCCACAGACTTGTTCCACTTCAATTTTCATTGAAAAATAACTTCAAAAATGGTAGTAGATGTACATGTATTGTATACTATAAATGATTTGGGAACAGTTTTATATCTCTCTTTGGTAATGTTAAGGTTAGGTATTATTAAGTTATACTAATGTAATAAAATAGCCATACTACTAATAGTAAAATTTGTCAGGGGTAAAAAGTTAAAAACCTTTGAGCACATATAATAAACATGCGTTATTCAGACTAATTAATATCAATCATGCGGTTTTTTTTTTTCCATTTTTTTTTTCTTTCTAAAGATTAGAACGTAAACACATGTAGCAAGGTTTCACAATAAAAATACAATATTTCAGATAATTAAAGACCCATCCCCCTTTGGCTTTGAATTCACTGGCTATATACCTGTATATAGTTTGATTCTCCAGTTGATGTTGACATTGAAGAGCTACAGTAGGCCTCCAAGGCAAGAGGATGTATTTACAGTGGCAAGACTGGGATATCCATAAGGCCACCAAGTTTGGAACCTTAGAGCAGGTGCAGCTGCTTTTACAGGTAACTTATCAATAGACTTAGTCATTATAGTTGATTTGATCGGATTATCCTTATTTGGGGTGGGTGGGGTGGGGTCTTCTGCTCACCATGCAAGGGACAAAATTGTTTTTTTTTTTTTCTTTTTGCTACACTCAAAAAGCAAAAAGCTCATCTCATCCCTGTACTCAGATTCAATTATTGATGCCATTCTTAATTAGCTGATATAGCTTTGCAAAATATGTAGACATGGAAAATATGACTTGGGGATATTTTCAAATGCATACAGGGTATTTTCAGTTAGATTTAAGTTAATCATGTAGTTTGATAATAAATGAATTTAAACAAGCAAAAAAGAAATATAAAAAAATCAGAAAATAAAATAAATAGTACTAATCAATAATAATGATTAATTAATTAATTAAT